TTCTCGAGGTGCTGATAATGTTCTATTTTTCAACCTGAGTGGCGTTTACACAAATCTGTGATCATTCATTTAACTGTATATGACATGGGCACTTTTCTGGATGTGTATTACACTTCGATGGAAAATAGGAAATTTAGAGATGCGTTTTCTCTTCTGTCTCCTCGCCTTTGCTCCCCACTGTCCACATAATACATACATTTATGGGAGAACAGGAAAAAATAGCAGCAGTCTGGAGTTATAAACTGCACTCTATCCCAATGCAAAACAGAAATAGAATAGTTTGCATGCAAACAGGGACAAGAAGGAAGCTCCGCACCCTTCATCTTGAACTGAAAAGCTGCCTGTGGATGGGCCATCCCCAGCAGAGGCTTTCCCTGGCTAGAGGAAAAGAGCAAGACACACCGAGAAGATAGAAGAGGTAAGTTTGTGGGGGTGTGGATGCAGAACATGGGGGAAAATGACAGTTCCCCCTCCAGATGTTACAAAAACAATTTCGACCTTCCGTTTCATGCACTGTTTCCGGAAAGCAGTCAACTGAAGATCTATAGCAAAGACTACTAAATGACACTAATCACGCACGGTTTGTGCTGAGCTATGAGCCATTTGGAAAAGGTCGTGAACAATGAGACCTTAAACAAAATCCACACTGGTGATCAAAGAGCAAAAAATTCCAGACCACTGCTCAATGAGAACCTGAGCCGCTCCATATCTCTAGCAGCCTGGAAAGGAGATGGAATTCACCTCACAAGGGTCTTGGGCACATTATGAAATATACCATCTCCCACATGCCTTGGAGTAATTTTCCATTACATATCTTGGAAAGGTATCTAGCAGAGGTTAGAATGATCCTACATAGCCTCCCTGGGGATATAGAAGGTTCCTCTCACTCTGTCCTGAAAGCCACCATCTTGGGATCTCAAAATGATGCTGCCCTCCCAACAACACCGTGGCTGGGCCAAGGTGTAGACAAAGAAGGCCTCTATATCACATGACAGAAGTCTGACACCCTCAATTGGGACTTTAGCAAAGGCTGGCAGATATCACAAGGGACACTAACACTAACCAGGCTCAGAGACACAATGTGAGGGTTCATGGGAAGGCCTGTGGGTCTCCTCTAAACTCCCACTGCCCCAAGCTCAACCCCTCAACACCCAGAACCTGAAGGATCTCTGAGGACACAGAGCCCGAGAGCTGCACCCCTCACTGGAGTGTCTCTTTCCAGGTCAGTCTTGGAGGTCCGTATTTGATTCTGTGAGGAAGAAGCCCTGCTGGGGGGTGAGAGGAACCAGGACCCCAACACTGAGGACCCCCAAGCTGTCCTGAAGCCCCTCAGTAATGCCCTGGGAAGGTGCCCTCCATGTTCTTGCCGGGCAGCACACACCCCAGCCTCGCTGTGGTGGGCCGCAGCTGCAGAATGCTCAAGCAGAAGCAGGGCTGGAACCCACAGTCCTCTGGAAATCCAAGCAGGCACTTTCCCAAACAGACCACACCACCTCCCTCACCCACACAAGGGCAGTTTGGCCAGCCCTTGGTTGCTCTAACTCAAATGCATAATGACACACAAATGAAACTTCAGTGAGAAGAAAGCCACATTAAGGGATCAATTTCCCCCCTTGCTTCTGGGGCTGAGCTTTAGAGCCACCATGGCAAGTCAATTATTGGGCTAACACCAGCTGTTTTCACAGGTGAGAAGAATTAGCAGTTTGACATCTAAACTGCTGAAACATCCTCAGTCTTTCACATGTCAGGTTCCAAGAGCTAGGCAGCTCAAAATATCTCCTCCACTAGAAAACCTCAGTGCCACTGGCCTGGGTCAAAAAATTCTCACCAACTCCAAATTCACATCAGCACAGTTAATAAACTGACACTTGTAACTTATTTTATAAAAATCAAAAAAATAATGGGTGAGAACTCTTCATATACAAGGGAAGAGAAATAGCTACAAGAAACAATAGCCTGTTCCTCTATTGTGTTCCCCAGATTGGCACTGAAACTCTGGAAATTTCAGATAGTGCCACTGCTCCAAGTTCACAGACATGGATTTGTAGTTATTCAAGCAGGAAGAGATCTTGGAAAGTTTAATTCTCAGGCTCTGCTTCCCCCCACCCTAGACCCAGACTGAGAGGGGCAAAACTTACATCAAAATCTAAAGTAGAGAAGGGACCTGCTGAATTATTATTTCTTCCAAGCCCAAAGTACTCAACAACAATGGCTGATTTGAACACTGATAATGCTCTGGCTCAAACTTCTTATTAGCTAGGCAGATGAAAAGGTTCTTCCCGAATCCTGTGCAA